GCTCTCCCTCTCCTCCAATGATTGGCTCAAATGTCACCTTTTCTGGAGGCCTACTCTGTCCACTCCCCACTCCCACCTCATTCCCAATCTACCTAACACTACTCCATTTTTTTTCCACAATACTTATTACTTTTAACATATTTTATCATTTCCTATTGTCTCTCTCCCCACTAGGTGGAAGCTCCATACTAGCAGGGGTTTTTGTCTATCTTGTCTGTGGATGCATCTATCCCCAGTGCCTAGAAAAGTGCCTGGCACACATAGGTGCCCAGTAATTTCTTACAGGAATCAGTGAATGAGTGAAAGATTTATATATCATTGCCATCAAATGATCAAAATGCTCTAGTCACAAAGGAGAGAGAGAACTAATTTTGAAAAACTCTAAAACACATTTACATATACAGCTTAAGGAGAAATTAATTAATCCTCATGTTGAAACACTGTTTGCAGAATGGCTAAAAAAAAGGTAAACATTTTTGTATCTGACCTAAAAGTCAAAATAAAGATAAGCTGAAAAATTCACAGTTAAGCTTTTGTATTTCGTTAACACTTTGTTGTGCTGTTTTTGTTTTGTTAAAGTGCCGAAGAGATGGATGAGACTGTTGCCGAGTTTATTAAGAGGATCTTCTTGAAAATTCCAATGACTAACATAATGACAATCCTAAAAGCCTGGGACTTTTTGTCTGAAAGTCAACTGCAGACTGTAAACTTCCGGCAGAGAAAGGAGCCTCTTGTTCAGGAATTGGTTCTGCTCTGTGAGGTAACAATGTTCAAAATGATTAGCCTTGAACAACATGCTTTCCTTTTTGTTCTTTTTCTTTCTTTCTTTCCTTAGTCCAGAGGGGATTTAGTGCACCTACTAAACTGTGAAACAAAAAGGGCTACATTCTACTCTAGAGGAGAAGAAAAGATTTACACCCTTAGAAACCCCATGGGGCAATTCTACTCTATCCTGTAGGGTCTCTATGAGTCGGAATTGACCCAACAGCACACAACAACAATTGGCATTTTCAACTTACAGAGAGTCCTTAAATATCAAGAAAGAAAAAAAGTCTGAGTCCAGCAAAACTAGATGGTGCCTGGCTACCACCAGTGACTGCTCTGACAGGGATCACAATAGAGGGGCCCAGATAGAGCTCGAGAAAAATGTAGAACAACATTAAAACTCATAAAAAAAAGACCAGACTTCCTTGGTCTGACAGAGACTGGAGGAACCCCGAGAGTATGACCCCTGGACACCCTTTTAACTCAGTACCGAAGTCACTTGTGAGGTTCACCCTTCAGCCAAATATTAGACAGGCCCATGACACAAAATGAGACTAAATGGGCACACCAGCCCAGGGACAAGGACGAGAAGGCAGGAGAGAACAGGAAAGCTGGTATGTGAAATTCAAGGTCAAGAATGGGAGAGTGTTGACATGTCGTGGAGTTGGCAACCAATGTCACAAAACAATATGTGTATTAATTGTTTAATGAGAAACTAATTTGCTCTGTAAAGCTTCATCTAAAGTATAATTAAAAAAAAAAAAGTATGCCAAATGGAAATGTTTTGGCACATCCCACATTACACAAATAAAAATACATTTTTAATGAAAAAAGAAAGAAAGAAAAAAAAGGAATTGTTGTTGTTAGGTGCCCTTAAGTCAATTCCTACCCTTAACGACCACATGTACAACAGAACAAAACACTGCCTGGTCCTGTGCCACCCTCACAGTCTTGCTATGGCTGAGCCCTTGTAGCAGTCACTGTGTCAATCCATCTCATTGAAGGTCTTCCTCTTTTTGTTGATCCTCCACTTTACCACGCATGATGTCCTTCTCCAGGGACTGATCCCTCCTATAACATGTCCAAAGTATGCGAGACGAAGTCTCACCCTCCTTGCTTCTAAGGAGCATTCTGGATGTACTTCTTCCAAGACAGATTTGTTTGTTCTTCTGGAAGTCCATGGTATATTCAGTATTCTTCACCAACACCATAACTCAAAGGTGTCAATTCTTCTTCAGTCTTCCCTATTCATAATCCAGCTTTCCCATGCATATGACGTGAATAAAACTACCATGGATTGGGTCAGGCACACCTTAGACCTCAAAGTGACATCCTTGCTTATCAACACTTTAAAGAGGTCTTTTGCAACAGATGTCCCCAATGCAGTATGTCGACTGATTTCTTGACTGCTGCTTCCATGAGCATTGATTGTGGATCCAAGTAAAATGAAATCCTTGGCAACTTCAATCTTTTCTCTGTTTATCACGATGATGCTTATTGGTCCAGTTGTGAGGATTTTTGTTTTCTTTATGTTGAGGTGCAGTCTACACTGAAGGCTGTGGTCCTGGACCTTCATCAGTAAGTGCTTCAAGTCCTCTTCACTTTCAGCAAGCAAGGTTGCATCATCTGCATATCGCAGGTTGTTGAGACATCTTCCTCCAATCCTGATGCCGCATTCTTCTTCAGATAGTCTAGCTTCTCGGATTATTTGCTCAGCATACAGACTGAATAAGTATGGTGAAAGGATGTAACCTGACACACACCCTTCTTGGTTTTAAACCATGCAGTATCCCCTTGTTCTGTTCAAGCCAGTGCCTCTTGGTCTATGTACAGGTTCCTCATGAGTACAATTAAGTGTTCTGGAATTCCCATTCTTCACAATGTTATCCATAATTTGTTATCATCCACACAGTCAAATGCCTTTGTGGAGTCAATAAAACATAGGAAAACATCATTCTAGTATTCTCTGCTTTCAGCCAAGATCCATCTGACATCAGCAATGGCGTCCCTAGTTCCACATCATCTTCTGAATCCAGCTTGAACTTCTGGCAGTTCCCTATCGATGTACTGCTGCAACCATTTTTAAATGATCTTCAGCAAAATTTTACTTGTGTGTGATATTAATGATATTGTTCGATAATTTCCGCATTCTATTGGATCACCTTTCTTTGGAATGGACACAAATATGGATCTCTTCCAGTTGGTTGGCCAGAAAGCTGTCTTCCAAATTTCTTGGCATAGATGAGTGAGCACTACCTTCTTTTTTCCCATTCTCTTTAGTGCAGCTTGGACTTCTTGCTTCAGTACCATCAGTTCTTGATCATATGCTTCCTCTTGAAATGGCTGAACCTCGACCAGTTCTTTCTGATATAGTGACTCTGTGTATTCCTTCCATCTTCTGTTGATGCGTCCTGTGTCATTCAGTGTTTTCCCCCATAGAATCCTTGAATATTGCAACTAGAGGCTTGTATTTTTTCTTTAGTTCTTTCAGCTTGAGAAATGCTGAGCATGTTCTAATGACAGGTCTGTGCACATTTCATTTTAATACTTTGTCTTCTCGAGCGGTCCTTTGAAATCTTATGTTCAGCTCTTTTACTGCATCATTTCTTCTATTCGCTTTAGCAACTTTCAAGAGCAAGTTTCAGAGTCTCTTCTGACACCCATTTTGGTCATTTCTTTCTTGTCTTTTTAATGACCTTTCGTATTCTTCATATATGATGTACTTGATGTCATTCCAAACATCGTCTGGTCTTCGATCATTAGTGTTCAGTGCGTCAAATCTATTACTGAGATGGTCTCTAAATTCAGGTAGGATGTACTGAAGGTCGTATTTTGGTTCCCGTGGACTTGCTCTAATTTTCTACAGCTTCGACTTGAACTTCCATATGAGCAATTGATGGTCTGTTCTGCTGTCAGCTCATTGCCTTATTCTGGGTGATGACATTGAGCTTCTCCAGCATCTCCTTCCACAGATATAGTCGATTTGAATCCTGTGTATTCCATCTGGTGAAGTCCATGTGGATAGTCACCGTTTATGTTGTTGAAAAAAGGTATTTGCAATGAAGAAGTCGTTGGTCTTGAAAAATTCTATCATGCTTTCCCCCACATCATATCTATCACCAGCACCATATTTTCCAACTGATGATCCTTCTTTGTTTCCAACTTTCACACTCCAATCACCAGTAATTATCAATGCATCTTGAGTGCATGTTTGATCAATATCAGACTGTGGAAGTTGGTAAAAATCTTCAATTTCCTCATCTTTGGCATTAGTGGTTGGTGCATAAATTTGAATAATAGTCATATTAACTGGTCCTCCTTGAAGGCATATGGATATTTTCCTATCACTGACAGTGCTGTACTTCAGGATAGATCTTGAAATGTTCTTTTTGTCAATGAGTGCAACGCCATTCCTCTTCAATTTGTCATTCCTGGCATAGTAGACTATATGATTGTCCTATTCAAAATGGCCAATACCAGGCCATTTTAGCTCACTAACACCTAGGATATTGATCTTAAAGCGTTCCATTCATTTTTGACAACTTCCAATTTTCCTAGATTCATACTTCGTACATTCCATGTTCCAATTATTAATGGATGTTTGTAGCTGTTTCTTCTCATTTTGAGTCATGCCACGTCAGCAAATGAAGGTCCTGAAAGCTTTACTCAATCCACGTCATTAAGGTTGACTTTACTTTGAGGAGGCAGCTCTTCCCCAGTCATATTTTGAGTGCCTTCCAAACTGAGGGGCTCATCTTCTGACACTATATCAGACAATGTTCCACCGTTATTCATAAGGTTTTCACTCCCCAGTTTTTTCAGAAGTAGATTACCAGTTCTTTCTTTCCCATCTGTCTTAGTCTGGAAGCTCTGCTGAAACCTGCCCACCATGTGTGACCCTGCTGGTATTTGAAATACCAGTGGCATAGCTTCCAGCATCACTGCAACCCTCAAGCCACCACAGTACGACAAACTGACAGACAGGTGGATACCATGGGAGAAAACAAAATACACAGTGCAAATTAAAATAATAAACAATACTTTTTTTCACCTATCAGATTGTCAAAAATGAAGAGGTAATTATACTCAAATATACTGGCAAAGTTTTGAGGAAAAAGATTTTCTCTTTCATGTGTATTTGTTTAGTTACTTATTTGCTTTTTGTTTTAAAATAATTTTAGACTTTCAGAAAAGTTGCAGGTATGGTACAAAGAATTCCTTAGACTCTACCTCATTCCCTTTTAAATATAGGTAGTTTTTGACCTAGCAATTCCAGTTCTGAAAGTTTATACTGAGGAAATAATAGAAAATAAGGAAGTATGTAAATAATATTTTAATTTATAAATATTTATATATTTAAATCTAAAGATTTATATGTAGATATAAAGATGTAGCTTATAAGTATCTATATACGTAAATAAGGATGGCAAAAGGCATATGAAAATACGCTCAAAATTGTTGTTCGGTACTGTTGAGTCAAATCCGACGTGTAGTGGCCCCATGTGACAGAGTAGAACTGCCGCATAGGGTTTTCTAGGCTGTAACGTTTACAGGACCAGATTGCCATGTCTTTCTCTCATGGAGCCGCTTTCAGTTTGCAACTGAGCACTTAACTGTTGTGCCACCAGGGTTCCTCAAAATCATTAGACATTAGGAAAATGCAAAATATAACCACAATAAGATACCACTTATTAGATACCAACACACTTATTAGAATGACTAAAATTTAAGACTGACTATATCTAGTGGTAAATGAAATGTGGAGGAACTGGAACTCTCAGACTTCTGGTGGGAATGTAAAATGGTACAGCCAGTTTGGAAATCAGTTGGCAGTTTATTTAAAAGTTAAGTGTACACCTACCATATGATTCAGTCTTTCCACTCCTGGGAAAATAAATGAAAACATATGTCCACACAAATGTTCATAGCAACATTATTCATAATAGCCCCAAACTGGAAGCGACCCAAATTACCGTCAGCAGGTAAATGGAAAAACAAATCGTAATGTATGCATACATACAATGGAATACTACCCAGCAATAGAAAGGAATGGACTATTGATTCTGTGGTGTCGCATTCAAAAGAAACATTTCAAGATCTACCCTGAAGTACATTACTGTCAGTGATAGGGTACTATACATACGCCTTAAAGGAAGACCAGTTAATATGACTATTATTCAAATTTATGTACCAACCACTAATGCCAAAGATGAGGAAATTGAAGATTTTTACCAACTTCTGCAGTCTGAAATTGATCAAACATGCAATCAACATACATTGACAATTACTGGTGATTGGGATGCAAAAATTAGAAACAAAAAAAAAGGATGTGTAGTTGAAAAATATGACCTTGGTGAGAGAAACGACGCCAGACAGCGCATGATAGGATTTTTCAAGACCGACGACTTCTTCATTGCAAATACCTTTTTTCAACATAAACGGCGATGATACACAGGGACCCCACTGGATGGAAAACATAGGAATAAAATGGACTACATCTGTAGAAAGAGACAGTGGAAAAGCTCAATATCATCAGTCAGGACAAGGTCAGGGTCTAACTGTGGAACAGACCACCAATTGCTTATATGCAAGCTTAAGTTGAAGCTGAAGAAAACTAAAACATGTACACGAGAACCAAAATACGACCTTGAGTATATCCCACATGAATTTGGAGATCTTCTCAATAATAGATTTGATGCATCAAACACTAATGACTAAAGACCAGATGAGTTGCATAATGATATCAAGGACATCATACATGAAGAATGCAAAAAGTCATTAAAAAGACAGGAAAGAAAGAAAAGAACAAAATGGATATCAGAAGAAACTGAAACTTCTCTTGAACATTGAGTAGCTAAAGTGAATAGAAGAAATGATGCAGTAAAAGAGCTGAACAGAAGATTTCAAAGGGCGGCTTGAGAAGACAAAGTAAAGTTTTATAATGAAATATGCAAAGACCTGGAGTTAGAAAACCAAAAGGGAAGAACATGCTCAACATTTCTCAAGCTAAAAGAACCGAAGAAAAAATTCAAGCCTCAAGTTGCAATATTGAAGGATTCTCTGAGGAAGACATTGAACAACACAGGAAGCATCAAAAGAAGATTGAAGGAATACACAGAGTCACTATATCAAAAAGAATTGGTTGATGTTCAACCATTTCAGGAGGTAGCATATAATCAAGAACCCATGGTATTGAAGGAAGAAGTCCAGGCTACACTGAAGGCATTGGTGAAAAATAAGGTTCCAGGAATTGATGGAATACCAACTGAGATGTTTCAACAAATGGGTGCAGCGCTGGAGGTACTCACTCATCTATGGCAAAAAATTTGGAATAAAATTACCTGGCCGACTGATTGGAAAAGATCCATATTTGTGCCCATTCCAAAGAAAGGTGATCCAACAGAATGCAGAAATTATCAAATAATATCAGTAATATCACACTCAAGTAATTTTGCTGAAGATCATTAAAAAGTGGTTGTAGCAGTACATCAACAGGGAACTGCCAGAAGTTCAAGCCGGATTCAGAAGATGATGTGGAACTAGGGACGTCATTGCTGATGTCAGATGGATCTTGGCTGAAAGCAGAGAATACTAGAATGATGTTTACCTGTGTTTTATTGACTATGCAAAGGCATTCGACTGTGTAGATCATAACAAATTATAGATAACATTGTGAAAAATGGGAATTCCAGAACACTTAATTGTACTCATGAGGAACCTGTACATAGACCAGTGCACTCATTCGAACAGAACAAGGGGACACTGCATGGTTTAAAGTCAAGAAAAGTGTGTATCAGGGTTGCATCCTTTCACCATACTTATTCAGTCCGTATGCTGAGCAAATAATCCGAGAAGCTGGACTATATGAAGAAGAACAGGGTATCAGGATTGGAAAAAGACACATTAACAACCTGTGATATGCAGGTGACACAACCTTGCTTGCTGAAAGTGAAGACGACTTGAAGCACTTACCGAAGAAGATGAAAGACCACAGCCTTCAGTACGGATTACACCTTAACATAAAACAAAAATCCTCACAACTGGGCCAATAAACAATATCAGGATAAATAGAGAAAAGAGTGAAGTTGCCAAGGATTTCATTTTACTTGGATCCACAATCAATGCCCATGGAAGCAGCAATCAAGAAATCAAAGGGCGTATTGCATTGAGGAAATCTGTTGCAAAAGACCTCTTTAAGGTGTTGATAAGCAAGGATGTCACTTTGAGGACTAAGGTGCGCCTGACCCAAGCCATATTTTCAATTGCCTCATATGCATTTGAAAGCTGGACAATAAATAAGGAAGACAGAAGAATTGATGCTTTTGAATTATGGTGTTGGTGAAGAATACTGAATATACCAAACAAGTATGTCTTGGAAAAAGTACAGCCAGAGTGCTCCTTGGAAGCAAGGATAGTGAGACTTCATCTCACGTACTTTGGACATGTAATCAGGAGGGACCAGTACCTGGAGAAGGACATCAGACTTGGTGAAGTAGAGGATCAGTGAAAAACAGGAAGAGCCTCAATGAGATGGATTGACACAGTGGCTGCAACAGTGGGCTTAAACATAGCAACAACTGTGAAGATGTCACAGGACCAGGCAAGGTTTCGTTCTGTTGTACACAGGGTTGCTATGAATCGGAACTAACCTGACAGCACCTAACAACAACAGCAACATTGATAGGTGCAAAAACATGAATATATATTAAAATAATTATACTGAGTAAAAGAAGCCAGACCCCCCCAAAAAAACAGAGTACATACTTATTCATATAAAACACTAGAAAATGCAGACAAATCTATAGTAACAGAATGCAGATCAGTCTGCGTAGGGTGGGACAGAAAGGGGTAGGGGATGGTATTAGAAAGGGACACAAGGAAATTGGGGGGCTCATGGGTATGTTCACTGTCTTGGTTATGGTGATGTCAAAACATCAAATTGTACACTTTAAGTATGTACAGTTTATTTAATATCAATTATACATCGATAAAGCTGTTTCAAAAACAAAACAAAAAGTTACAGGTGATAAATGAGTGAACTGTGGGAGAACAGCTGAGTGCCTGTGGTGACTAACAGTAGGTGGTAGATTGAAGACAGGGTGTCAGTAAAGTATTGAGAGGGTGCTAATTGTCTGTTCTAACCAATCCGAAGAATAGCTTCAAATAGGATGATATCAAATATATCACCACATTTACTAAATAATTTATTCTCTTTCAGGAGAAGTGTGCAAGTCTCAATGACGCGGCCCTTTTAGACATCATTTGTAAGTTCTGATGATTTGAATTTACACTTAGCAATCTGTTTCATCAGGGAAGCAATTTTGTATGAAATATGTAAGGGCTCAGATTCTAGAATTGAGGATATTTGGTTTCAAATCCCAGCTCTGTCACTTAGCACATGGCACAGCTGAATGTATTGAGAGAACATGCCTCTGATTTAGTTTGTCTGATTTTCCATGATTGGGTTACATCTAGTCCATAAAAGGTGGATCCACACGTTTACTCTTTCTCATGCATTCATTCACATGTACATTAAGCACCCATTATGTGCCAGGCAGTATGCCCAGCACTGCTGAACAAGACAGAGGTGGTTCATAGTCCCTTAGAAGCCCAGTCTAATCAAGGAGACAGATTAATTAATCACAAAAATGCACCTTGCAGATGGTGATAAATTCTACAAAGGAAGGAAATAGAGAGGGGTCTGTGAGTGCATAGTGGGACCACCCTGTTTACCTGTGCTGCCTGCCCCATCCTTATACTCTCGAATCCTCTAACCTCACTCTACTTTTTCTTTTTTCCATAGCACTCGTCACCTTCTCCCATACTATCCAATTTTTGAATGGATGATGTTTATTGTTTATTATCGTCTGCCCCTGCTAGAATATAAGCTCTCTGAAGACAGAGATCTTTCCTTTTATTCACTGATGTTCCCCAAGTACCTAAGACAGTGCCAGCACATAGCAGGCATCCAATAAATATTTGTTCAGTGAATTAGTGAATGAATGAACTCTGAAATGCTGCTAGGCAAGAAGGATAAGGATGGAGAAACAGTGATGTAGAGATCACTGGTGCCACAGGAAAGGCGATTTTAATGAAGTGGTAGACACACACTGTTTGGAGTGAGTTGACAAGAGACTAGGTGGTGAGGAGCTAGAAACAGTGAGGACAGTAACTCTCCAAGGGCTTTTTGCTAGGAAGGAGAACAGAGCAATAGAGTGGCAGCTGCAGGGGATGCAGTGTATTCCTTAGGATGATAGCTGCACTTTCAAGGGAAATTTCAGTCACATTCACAGTAAACTGGAAAGTAGGTGTCCATTGATTTCAGCATGTTTATTGGATGCCCACTATGTTTAGGGCAGTTTGCTAGATGCTGAGGAATTTTCAGGGATGTGGGAAAATAGTTATGCCAAGCACAACATTCCCTGTCATGCTGGATAAATGTAGCATTCTATGAAATGTGTAGAATATTATGTGGAAATCGAATATATGGTCTAAAATAAAAATAAATGCTAAAACTTCTCTATTATCTAGGTTGGTTGCATTAATTATGATTTGTTGTACCTGAGATAAATTTTTTTTTATAATTTATTTTATTTTTGTTGTTGAGAATATACACAGCAGAACATACACCGATTCAACCATTTCTACATGTACAGTTCAGTGACACTGATTACATTCTTCAGGTCGTGCAACCATTCTGACCCTCTTTTGTGTTGTTCCTCCCCTGTTAACATAATCTCACTGCCTCTAAATTTCCTATTGTTTGAAGTAAATTTAATCCATATAAAGTTTGTATTTTGAGTAAAAATCTGAATAGCCTGATTTAAGAGCCCTGGTGGTGCAATAGTTAAGTGCACGACTGCTTGATTAGCGCTTCAACCTGCCCGGCAGCTCTGCAGGAGAAAAACCTGGCGTCTGCTCCTGTAAAGCTTTACAGCCCTGGAAACCCTATGAGGCCATTCTACTCTGTCCGATAGGGTCGCTATGAGTCAGAATCAAGCTGACAGCACACAACATAATCTGATGTGTGAATTACTCTTATCTGCTCCAGTTGATTTCATATTGTTGAAATTACTTCAAAGTTCTTTGATATAATAGTAATACTCTTCCTCCCTCTCTTAGATATTCAGGTTCATCGGCACCAGAAACTTTGGGATGTTTTTAAGATGAATAAAGGACCAGGTAATGTTTTCCATTTTAAACTGAATATTTATATTTGACATTTTGGCAATTTAAAAATGAATAATAGTATGTTCCTCTTACGTCTCTTTTCTTTTAAAGTGAGGTTATTATTACACTTGTGAATAAATGAGAAATATATTTGGTGGTGTTGTGTTAGAGGTACTAGTAGCTTTTGTGTGATTTGATCATTATTGCTCTTTGAGGTTACACAAAATGCTTAGCTTCAAGGTTCTTTGCAAATGTATTTATTTATTAAAGATGCAGACCTCTTGATTTTTCTTTTCACTTTGACAGGTGAAGACGTTGACCTTTTTGATATAGAACAGTTCAAAAGTTCATTTACAAAAATTCTTCAGAGAGCATTAAAAAATGTAAGAATAAAATTCTTCAAAATTTCCATTAAATTCAATTTCATGGTACCTGTGCACTTACAATTTATTACTACCCCGTTTTTTAATTTAAGGAGCTCTGGTGGCACAGTGGTTAAGCTCTTGGCTGCTGATTAAAAGGTTGGTGGTTTGAACCCACCAGTGGCTCTGTGGAAGAAAGATGTGGCAGTCTGCTTCTGTAAAGATTACAGCCTTGGAAACCTATGGGGCAGTGCTACTCTGTCCTGTAGGGTCACTAGGAGTTGGAATTGACTCAACGGCAATGGGTTTGGTTTTAGTTTTTTAATTTGTAAGAAATCTAGTTAGTAAATTCTATACTATTCTACCCCATTAACTTTAATGAAGTAAACAGCCACATGTGGCTGGTGGCTACCTAACAACAACAACCCGTAATCTAATGAATCAGACACTGTGGGGGTGGGCCCAGCAGGCTGTGGTTTCACAAGCCCTACAGGGGATTCTGATGGACAGTCATGTTTGAGAACCACTGCTCAAGGGCACCAGTGATATTTTTATCACAAAAATCCCTTGGCCTGGTGTCTCTAAATACCGATTGCAAACCCCTACATAAAACCAGGCCCTGTGCTAAGCACTTTACAATTAAACGTTGCATTCTTGCTATGAAGTGAGTTATGTTACACAACTGGTAAGCAGCAGAGGCACGTTTAGACCCAGGCAGGTGGCTGCAGAAGCCACGCTCCTCGCCTCTATATTGGGCAGGCTCTCGCCACTCAGCTCTTGGCCAGGTGCCAGATGCTGGGCAGAGAAAGATACACAACATTCATTTCAAGAAGGTCACATGTCAGACAAGTGACAGTCAATGACCCCTCATTCCTGAATCTTTACCCTCTCCTGGTTGACTTCTGCCCAACCTAACTGCATCTTTACTTTCTCCACGACTAACTCCGTTCTTCACTGGAGTATCTGCATGGTCCCATACTCAGCCTTCCTTCTATAATGTGGGTAAGCTTTTACCTTGGAGGAAGGCAGGAAGGGAAGTAGGGACAGGACTTAATTTATCAAATGCTTTTTGAAAGGCCATCACATTGTCCCCACACCATTTGTTGACCACTTCCGCTTTCTCAGCTGGTTTGCCATCCATGGATCCTCAGACTCCTTGGGTTTACTTCCAGGGTCAGTATCTTACTCATTGGTTTGTTGTTTCCATGCCCTCCTTGACCCAGTGCCTGCCTCACTGCTCTCATCTATGCCACTCTATACTCCAACCAAGCTAAACTAAGCTTCTCTGAGTTCTTGAACTTGTCTTGCTCTCCTAATTTTTCGGCTGTTCCCTCTCTGTGGAACAACCTCTACCCCACCCTGGCCTTACCTATCCTGATCTCCATTTAAATAGTATTCCCTCAGAGAACCCTCCCTGGCCTCCTAGACTGTGCCCCCCTGTTCTGTGCTCTTAATCTCACTCTCCTCGCCCACACAATATTCATCACAGTTCCTGGTTTAACTGTCAGTCTTCCTCCCCAGCCTGGAAGCCCCCTGGGACTGGGACTCTGACCATCATGCTCCCCACAGTCCCAGCAAATGCTAGCAAATAAATAAATTAGTCACCAAACAAAAAAAACACAACAGAGAGTCCCTGATGGAGCAGGAGAAAAGTGGGGTACAGAACTCAAATTCTAGTAAAAAGACCAGACTTAATGGTTTGATTGAGACTGGAAGGTCCCTGGAAGTCATGGCCCCTGCACTCTCTGTTAGCCTAAAACTAAAACCATTGCCGAGGCCAACTCTTCAGACAAAGATTAGACTGGACTAAGGGACATAAAATGATACTCGTGAGGAGTGTGCTTCTTAGGTCAAGTAGATACAAGAGATTAAATGGGCAACTCCTGTCCGGAGGCGAGATGAGAAGGCAGAGAGGGTCAGGAGCTGGTTGAATGGACACGGGAAATCAAGGGTGGAAAGAGGAGTGTGCTGTCACAGTATAGGGAGAGCAACTAGGGTCACATAACAATGTGCGTATAAATTTTTGTATGAGAGACTAACTTGAATTGTAAACTTTCACTTAAAGCAGAATAATAAAAAAAAAAGATTAGACCAGACCAGACCTGTTGCCATCCAGTCGATTCTGACTCATAGCAACCCTATAGGACAGAGTAGAACTGCCCATAGAGTTTCCAAGGAATGGCTGGTGGATTCGAACTGCCGACCGTTTTTGGTTAGCAGCTGAGCTCTTAACCACTGTGCCACCAGGGCTCCAAATCAGCCACAGTCTTTGCAAATTCCATATTCCTTTAATTGCTGTAGTTTTAAAAAATATTTTAATACCCGTTGAGGCAAGTCAACACTGACCCTACCCTCAGTTACTCTTCTTTATCAAGAGTGTCCTGGCTAGTTTTCTAGATGAACCCTAGAATTATTTTGTCAGGTTTACAAGACAACACAAAATCTTAGGCATTTTGTGTTTTTTTTAGCATCTGAGGTAAATGCATAAAATCATTAGGACTGGTATATTTTTAAGACCATTACTACATAGAAATCTCACTGTTAAATTTTATAATGCATGCTAGGTCTGTCCTAGATGCTAAAAGGGCTTTATTATAAAATGGGAATCTTATCCATGGCTGTCTTACTTAATAAGAGATCAAGAATCTTACAGATGGAGGAACACAGTTTTTCAGGACAAGCCCAAGAAATTATTGAAAAATTTTGATGTCATACCCTGATTGTGGCTTTTTTAACTTTTTTCTTCTGGAAGACTTCGCAAGGCATAAATGTGTCTTTGCAAAACAACCACAAAATATTTTCTTGAAGATTCCCAAAACACTGTAATGAACAACAGGAGAAAAGACTGCCAGATCTCAATCCACGTGCAAGATTACAGTGACATATTGCACCCCTAAAAAACAACCATCAGCGGTGCCACAATGAGATTTTAATTAGGAAACCCAAATCTTTTTTAATAAGGTGACGGTCAGCTTCAGAGACGCTGAGGAGAATGCAGTTTGGATTCGAATTGCCTGGGGAACACATCACACAAAACCAAACCAGTATAAAGCTACTTATGTGGTATATTATCCCCAGACTCCATATGTGTTCATGTCTCTGTCCAGGCTGAAGAGGAATATACCCCTCCTGGATCAGGTATGGAACAAATTATTATAAGGTACCACATTTTATTTTCCTTATGCAAAGGGCTATGTAGGTTTAAACTGCTGGATAAGCATTCAATATGGAATACCACATATAATTCTTGATCTCCTAAAATAAGGAACAGAAAGCATTGTTATTCTGCAAGTGGGAACATGGCAGAGACATTGATTTAGATCTATTCTTTTTTGTCTTTTAATCTAGAAGCAATGCATACTTAAAGTAAAAAATTGAACCAACACAGAAGTCTCTAAAAATGAAAGTTTCAAAACTTCATATCCCCTTCCCCAATTCCATTCTCCCCAAATAACTACTGTTAACAGTTTTGCTATATCTCCTTTCAGAAGATTTTTATTACATACCGTTCTGTAATTTGCTTTTTTAACTGAGCAGACCCTTTCTATGTGGTCGCCTATGAATATACCTCACTGCTCTTTTATAACTGCATCATTTGCCTATTGGTGAACATTGTTTTCATTTGTAATCATTTCCCCACATTCTGTACCCAAGAAAACTGCTTTAAAATAAGCTGTAGTAGCCTCTGATCAGAGCCTGCTTCTCCGTATGGCTCTGTCTTTGGTATCTCAGGCTTCCTAGTATATTTCTGCGTAGTAAGCCTTCCCTGAGTTGGACTGGCGACTGCTGCGGCTTTCCTCTCTATTAGCATTCACAACTGCAATGGCCCCCAAATTGGTTCCAGAGCTACCACTTGAGCTGGCTGTAGGTAAGCAGCTCCACTGTCCTGGCTGCACCATCGAGGTGCTAAAGGAGCCCCAAGCACTCCAGTGTTGTGACCCCAACGAGCTATAGGATCCCAGCACTTGTGCTTTCTTGTCCTTTAAGTTCCTTTGTTGTTTATTGAAATGGCAGCAAGACTTCTGCTGCTTGCTTCTACTTTCCTTTAACACTTCATGCCACTTCTTTGTATCTGAGGTCTATTCCTCCATGATTCATAGTGGTCGTTCATCCACTCACAGTGGGGTGATTCTACCCTGCCACAGCCAGTTGAAACATTACCTTAAAGACTACTGTTCATTTATGTTACATATCTTAAAGCAAACTACTCTCTAGTTCCAGGTAAATATCTTATTCCCTTCATTCTGTTTCAGTCCTCTGCCTTGTTTCCCTGGGTCATGGAAAACTTTTATAAATTTAATACACATTTCTTTCTTCAATATTTGCACTAAAGCATACATATTTGCATTTTCATATGGCAGGATCATTGTACTGTTAGATAACTGGTTTTCTAAAACTAACATTTTGAGCATTCATTGTTTATTCCTAAGTCTGAAGTTAATTTATTGTAATTCTTTTAAACAAGATGACTTTTTTAAAAATGGTAGAAAAGACTTTGCATTTATGAGAATCTTAATGCCATTAGCCACTTTTTTGATCATTTAAGCCGAGTAACTAGCCATGAGATTATATAGCTCTGGATTTCTTTTCCACTCTTCAGTGAAAACTATTCATTGATTGTAGATCCTGCATTTTACTTTGGCAAATATGATAAACATGGGCACAGTAATCCTAATAGTCTTGCTGATTTTCATTTCAAGGCACTGATGATTGCTAGCAAACACCATCAGATTGTGAAAATCGACCTCAGGAGCCGATATCTGGACTCTCTTAAGGCTATTGTTTTTAAACAGTATAATCAGGTGAGCCAATTGGAGACTCTCTTTAAGTCTTTATCGTCTGGTTCATGCACGGGTTAGAAGCCACGGAGCAGGTGGGAGAGTCCACCTCCAACAAGAGAGATCAGTTTAGATATTATTGAAACGAAGAAAAAGCTTTCAAGAAGTTAACATGACCATGGTCTCAGGACACATCTAGCAATAAATTAAAAAGAAAAAAGAAGAAGAAGTTAACATGAAACAAAATAATTTCTCACTATCATCTTTTTATACTTTTATTATGTTTTATATTGCTTGTTGTTGTTGTGTGCTGTTGAGTCAATTCCAACTCATAGCAACCTCATAGGACAGAGTAGAACTGTACCATAGGGTTTCCTAGGCTGTAATCTTTATGGAAGCAGATCACCAGGTCTTCTCTCCCTTGGAGCCGCTGGGTGGGTTCAAACGGCTGACCTTTCAGGTAGCAGCCAACTGCTCAACCATTGTGCCACCAGGGCTCATTAGCCACTGGAATTTGTGTTATAGATCCAAGTTTCCAAAGCAGCTTTTCCAAGTTGCTTTTCCAAGTTTCTCCTTAGAGAACTTGACACAGTCTTTTGAAGCTAATTATAATATAGTATAGCTACCACCCGTTTGTCAGTTTGTCGTACCGTGGTGGCTTGCATGGTGCTATGATGCTGGAAGCTATGCCACTGGTATTTCAAACACCAGCAGGATCACCCATGGTGGACAGGTTTTACCAGAACTTCCAGACTAAGACAAACTAGGAAGAAAGGCCTGGCAATCTACTTCCAAAAATTAGCCACTGAAAACCCTGTGGATCACAACAGAATACTGTCTGACATAGTGCTGGAAGATGAACCCCCTGGGTTGGAAGGCACTCAAAATACACAGTGGCCACAATAATCAACTTGAGCATACCAATGATCTTTAAGATGGTGCAGGATTGGGCAACGTTTTGTTTTGTTGTACATGGGGATTTGAACTGCCGACCTTTTGGTTAGCAACTGAGCGCTTAACCACTGCGCCACCAGGGTGTCATTAGTCATTAGGGTAATGCAAATCAAAACTACAACTAGATACCACTCCATACCCACTAAGATGACCGTGTTTTAAAAAATGGGAAGTAACGCTGGTGAGGAACCCTCCAAGCCAAATAATAAAAACAACATTATAATATAGAGAGATATATAGTTAATTTTTTTTTGGCTCATGACTGAAGTAGGTGATGCATTGGGTTAGAATTAAGGAGAAAGCAATGGTTTATTAAGTCCTACAGTTTATTTGTTAGTATTATTTAAATGTACTGTTTCTGTTTAATGAAAAGAAACGGCCTGTCCGCATTCACCAGGCCTAGGCTATGTTTTTCCTCTGCATGACAAATGCAGGCTCATGTGCTCAGACTTCTGTAGGTGGATTATTAATGCTCTGTGTATATCTTGTGCCCTTGAATATGTTAAACTTATGCATTCTCATCTGTTCTAAGTGGAAAGAAGTGATGGCTGTCTATAAGCTACTCTCTGAGGAAAAGAAGATCTAACATTAAGAAGTTAAATAATGATTTCCTCCCATAGCTGCCCCCTCCCCTCCCACTCATCACCCTCCCACCCATCACCTTCCCACTAAATTGGTATAAACTGTTCTGCTATAATGTGAAACTTATAGTCCTAGGAAACTTCACATTGTCAACACTTAATTACAAAAACAACAGCTTCATTGGGGGAAGGTGGAATTAGGGGTTAGAGAGATTCAGATTTGCAGTATGCGAGTTATTTTTCCAAAAGGAATTTCAGTGAGTTTTTTAAGGTTAGGAAGGAATCACATTGCAATCACCCTGTCTTTGAGCCCTGTAGCTTTTGCTGTCCACATCTAATCTTACAGATCTGTTTTTATGATAACCAAGTACAGAGCTCCTCAAACAAAACAGCCATGTGGCTCACCCCAGCAGACTCCTTGTGGACATCCTGCTGTGGGAGAAATGCCCAACTCAGCCGGATATGGCCTGTGATCTCTTCTTGTTGAAAAAAAAAGAGATAATAAGATTTGGCATACTTTTATGTACTAAAACCAGTTAATATCTATACTTCAAAATATTAAAATTAGGAGGCACACAGACCAATGGAATGATTTGAGAGTCCAGAAATCAATCAACCTGTACACCTATGGACAGCTGATTTTCACCAAGGGTGCTAAGTCCATCCAATGAGGAAAGTCTCTTTAATAAATGGTGCTAAGACAACTGGCTTTCCACAACAAAAGAATGAACCTGGACCTATACTTCATACCCTATGTGAAAACTAATTCAAAATGGATCAAGGGCCCAAATGTAAGAACTAAAACCATAAAACTCTTAGAAGAAAACATAGGTGTAATGCTTCAGGACCTAGTTTTTAATAACGGATTCTTAGATATGACACAAAAAGCATGAGCGACAAAATAGGTAAATTGGACTTTATCAAAATTAAAATCTTTTGTTCATCAAAGGACTTTATCAACAAAGTAAAGAGACAACCTACAGGGAACCATATATCTGGTAAGGGTTTAATGTCCAGAATATACAAAGAACTACAACTTAACAAAAAGACAAACAACCCAATCAAAACATGGTCAAAGGACTTGAATAGACATTTCACCAGGCAAGAAATACAAATGGCCAACAAGCACATGAAAAGATGTGCAGCATCATTAGTCATTAAAAAAAAAGTTGCCATCGAGTCGATTCCGACTCATAGCGACCCTAAGGACTGAGTAGAACTGCCCCATAGGGTTTCCAGGGAATGGCTGGCAGATTTGAACTGCTAACCTTTTGGTTAGCAACCGAGCTCTTAACCACTGCGCCACCAGGGCATCATTAGTCATTAGGGAAATGCAAATCAAAACTACAACTAGATACCACTCCACACCCACCAAGATGACTATGATTTAAAAAATGGGAAATAACATTGGCGAGGATGTGGAGAAATTGGAACCCTCATCCATTGCTGATTGATTATAAAATGGTACAGCCTCTGTGGAAGCCAGTTTGGTGGTTCCTCAAAGAGTTAAACATGGAATTACCATATGATCCAGGAATTCCACTCCTAGGTATATACCCAAAAGAACTGAAAGCAAGACCACAAACAGATACTTGTGCACCAGTGTTCACTGCAGCACTATTCACCATAGCCAAAAGGTGGAACTGGCCTAAGTGGCCATCAACAGATGATGATAAACAAAATGTGGTGCATACATATAATGGAATACTACTCAGCTATCAAGGGAGGTGAGGTCTTGATAGACAGTACGACATGGATGAATCTTGAAAACATTATGCTGAGTGAAATAAGTCACAAAAGGACAAATCTTATATGATCCCACTTACATGAAACTTCTAGAACAGACAAGTATCTACAGACCTAAGTTTATTTGTGGTTACCAGGGGCAAGCAGTAGGGAGGGGGAAAGGAGGACTTATTACCTGGGCAACACTAAGCTTCTGTTAAGGGCAATGGAAAGATTTGGAAGTAAATAGTGGTGATGGTTAAACAAGATAAACGGAATTAATGTCACTGAATGATACATATAAAAAATGTTGAAATAGCAGATGTTTTGTTACATTTACCACAAAAAAACAGTTAAAATTAAGAAAACATTTACTGTTTTTCCTTTTTTTGTCTTCTAGTTCTTTGAAACTCACAATTCTACTGCACCTCTACAGGAAACAAGCCTGTGGCTGGATACAAATAGTATGTGTGCTTAAGATAAAACTGAAATTAGAAGGGTTTTGTTTCTTTTTTAGATTTCTGTCACTCAGTGTACCTGGGTCCTCATTCAAAACTCTTTCACTGCTTTCAGATAATTGAAAATTAAAATTTTGTAGAAGAAGGGGAGCTAAGCTACCATAGGTCTCTTAGAATTTACCAGAATGGCATCTGGTAAAGGAAACAAAAATTAGCTAATAGTTGTTGAGCGTTTTTTTTTTTGTGCCAAGCACCATACTAAGATGCATTTATACGTTTATATGTATTATTCCCTTAATCTGCACAGTAGTGCTGTGCTACCCTCTATTCATCGGGAAACTGGGTTTCAGAGAGGTTTAGTAACTTGCTAGGCAAAGTCCTACAGCTAGGAATTGGCAGAGACCAGAGTGAAATGGGGTCTACCTGAGTCTTGAGCTGAGGCTCTGACTGCTCAGTAAGCTGCTTGAATTATCAGAATTGTCACTATCACTACTCACAGATGGCATGAGTCTCTCCCAGGAAGCCCAACAGTATAGAATATACAACTTCTGAAGTGAATCAAAAAGTTTAGAAGAGTGGCAGGGTATAATCTAAATGTATAAAAATGAAAAATGTCTCCTAGCCACAATTCGGCAGGAAAATGAAATAGTGCAGTCCTTATGACTAAACAGTTTTATGTCTTTTCAATGGCATAGGAACTGCTCTTTATCTCATGTTAAGCGAAGGAAGCAGGATACAAAATTGTGTGTATTTTATAATTCCAACCATAAATACATATGTTTTATAAACATATAAAAAATATATGTGTTTTTAAAAGTATGTGTATGTGTGAAAGTCCCTAGAAAGGCCAAAACAGAAATATACTAAAATGTTAACAGTGCTTATCTCTGGGTGGTAGGATTATGGGTGATTTTAATTTTCCTTTTTTTTTTATTAATCTGTCATTTTCCAGCTTTTCTCCAATAAGAAATTATTACAATCAAGAAAAGAAACAATAAAGATTATTTTAAAATTATACAGTGAAACTTGTGAGAGCTGGAACTCAACGGGACTGCCTTGTTTTTCCAGGTCTCGCAAGTTTCCGCCTTTGACGGTGTAGTCTTACCACTCTTCTATCGCTCGTTTTAATGGAAAACATTTGAGTTTTCCTTCTCTGACAAGTTTTCACCATACACAGGTTCCAGCTTTCACAGGTTTTACTGTACAAGCAAGTTGAGGGGTTAGGTATGAAAAATAAGATGCTTTAAGAATGAAATATATTCCTAATAGCTGTTTCATCTGAAATCTTCCACCTCTAGTGGATTTAAGAGTCATTCATGAAAACAAAATAGAAAAAGAAAGAGTCCAAAGAGTGACGCGAGAAACTTTTGGAGACTGTCCTCAACCAAGACTAGAATTTGCACAATACAAGGTAGGAAGTGGCTATAAACACTAACAACAAGTTACCAGTATTTTATAAAAGAATAAAGAAAAAAAAAACCTTAAGTGGAAAACAATTCTAAGGAGTTCCTTTTTCATTTATCACTTAATTTGGTATGATAAAATCGTTAAATAGCCCTCCTTATTATAAGTTCCTCCGTTAGCAAAGGAGAACTGTTGAAATTTTGAATATGCCTTTTCATTGCATCTTATACATTCATTCAGTCATGTGTAACAGACTAGGCTGTGATATGTATTTTTGAGGGAAAAAATTGTCCAACTCTGAACTGTAGGTTTTATACCCTTCTAACCCATCGCACCTAAAACATTATTTGGCACACAGCAGGTACTTATGGATACTTATTGAACAAATAAGTCATTGCATAGCCCAGCTGTCATCAGTTACCTAGACAGCACTTCAAACCTACCTCATTTCAGAAGTCGGCCACTGCTCACCAGGAAGGCCATGTGAGAGGCTTAGGTGTTTAATGCAAGCCCACTGCCACCATTAGAATAACTCCAGGTTTATATCATGACACTGTAATCTGATTCCAGAGCCCGTGCTCAACACCTCACCGCCTCCCCCTCCCCTGAACCCTCCTTAAGTGCAAAACAATTCTAAGGAGTTCTTTTTCATTTATCACTTTAATTTTGTATAATAAAATTGTCAAATCGCCCTCCAATAAAATTCTTAGCTCAATATCCCAACAGCTCTGGGCCACACTCTTAATTCTGCCATTGATCTGCTCTCATTGGCCCAAAGCCAGTTCAGCTGGATTTGTCTGCAGTGAGAGAAGCTGATTAACAGCTTACAGGTTGGATTTCCTTAATGGCAGGTTTTATCTCAGTTCCTTTAAACAGCTCATAATCTAGGACACTGGTTTTCAAAGTATGGTCCCTAGACCAGCAGTATCAGCATCACCCAGAAATGTATAAGAAATGCATGTTTTTGGCCCCATCCTAGTCCTGCTGCATCAGAAACTCTGGGGATGGGGCCCAGCTATCTGTTTTTAACAAGCCCTCTATCTGATCCTGCACACTAAAGTTGGGGAACCATTGGTCTACGATACATGAGATTTGATTCACAGAACTTCCCTTTACATGCACCTTATGATGGCTCTATTCCATAAGTCAGGGTGCATGTATATTCATACCTGCTACCAATTTTTCCCTGACTTCTGTTTTGAAAAGTGTTAAACCTTTAGAAGACCTGCAAGAATATTACAGTGAACATCCATTTACCCTTTGCTTCAATTCACCAGTTGTTAACGTTTTGCCACATTTGCTTTTTTTCTCTCTTTATTCTGCACAATCTGACATTATTCACCGCCCCCCCCCCCAAATATTTCAGCATACTAAATTTTAAAGTTTAAGGATCATTTTAAGTAAGAAAATTTGTAGCTTAGACTCTAAGAGCCAACTACCTGTTGAGGTAGCAGTACTCAGATATTTGATGATATTAAGGAATTGTTATTTTTTTTAGCTGTGATAGTAGTATTGCAGTTAAATTTTTAAAAAGAGACCTTTTCTTCTAGCAATACTGAAATATTTACAGATGGGATGCTATGCTGTCTGGGATTTGGGAGGAGTGGGTGGTAGGGAATGGGGGGGTAACATGAAACAAGACTGGACACATGTTGACAGTTGTTCCAGCTGACTGATGCCCACATGGGCATTCATTATACAGTGCTGCTTACTTTTCTGTGTTTGAAAACTTTTTAATAAGAAGTTAAAAAGAAATAGCAGTAGTAACTCAAAAGACATGACATTTTTATATTGAAGTGACAGACTGCAAAAGATAATGCTAGTTTCCCATAAAGAATACACATTGTCAAGGGCAGCTGAGGGCCGAAGTGACATTCACCATCACCTGTGTCAGGTACTATGCATGCTTGGCATTTTTATGTGCGATCTCATTTAATGTTCTGATCACCCTCAAAATTTGCAGTTAGCACATTAAGTGGTCCCTACCCCCATTAATCCCTGAACTTGATGATAGAAATAATTCTGATATAATTCTTTTTTACCATTGCAACTGACATGTTTAATAATCATTTATAAATGTATTTGTTGACAGCTTGAGACGAAGTTCAAAAGTAACTTAAATGGGGGCATCTTGGCTGATAGGGAAGAACCCCTTAGGTGCATGATAAAGTTCTCTAGTCCACATCTTCTGGAAGCACTGAAATCCTTAGCACCAGCCGGTAAGTAGTTAGCTTATTTCACAAGCTACAAAAAGTAACATACCTACCCTCAGTCCTGTCTTTGCTGACTCATTACTCCAAGCTTTCTCCTTGCTCCAGGTGATATCCCATCATGCCCTCTTTTGCTCTTTCTGCTTCTGCATTTAATGGGGGATCCTCATCCACTCTCTAATCTTGGTCATTTTAAAACTGATTCAAATCTTTGCCCCGGTGATTATTTTAAATTTCCTTTTTTTTTTCTTTCTTATTTCAGGTATTGCAGATGCTCCACTTTCTCCATTGCTCACTTGCATTCCCAACAAGGGAATGAATTATTTTAAAATTAAAGATAAATGAGATTTATGTGGTTTTGTGAGCACAGGAGCCCCTTGACTATGTTGCACATCCATTTTAATTAATGGCTGACTGGATCGCTTCTGTCTATAAACTGCATTTTAGAAATTAGTCCTTGGTATTGAAGTTTTAGAAATGTTCATATAGCTGTTGGGATTCATTCTCCCCTTCTCCCCCCATTATCGTGAAGAGTATAGCAAATGTGGGCATTTGAGATGTGAAGGGATATACATATATGTGGCTCCAGACTTGACCTTATGATGCCTGACTGCTCTGAAATCAAGCAGGAATGGCACACTGGTTGAGCCTGTTGGGCATCGACTCTAGTGTCCTTTTCCCTATCCGCAGTCTTCGGGAGATCTGGTTCCAATTGCTGACTTCCAGATATTTTCTCTTAAGCTTTGGATCACAGAAAGCAGCACCAAGAAACCACACCCAAATCAAACTTTCTAGGAGAAACATAAAACTGGTCCATTCCAAGGGCAGAGCTGGGTCTATTACATTATCATTGGAGGAGGCAGCATATCAAATAAATCAGATATATAAAATAATGGTTTTCTTGTAACTGTACTTTGCATAATCCGTTTTATCACATATATGACATTCAAACTGACTGATATCATACTGATTTGTGAATAAAGATATTTAAAAACTGGTCCATCGGTTAGTTTTGATGAAAATCCTTCAGTGATCAATACTAAATAGCATGTGTTTTTATAATAATTACCTTTTTAAAAATCTATTCCCTGTCTTGTTCCAAAAGGATTTGAGGTTATAAAAACACATTACAGTTATGGCACAATTAAAAGGTGAGGGAATCTGGGCAAATGGGAGGACAAAAAAAGAAGAGGGGAACAAAATGAAGCTAGAGATAAGATAACTATGTAACAACCTACAAGTGAATCCCCAGTTACTAGAAGATCAGACATTTGGCGTGGAATTTACCAGTGGCCAAAGCAGAGAAGACAGCACCAATTAAAAATCCCTAGTACCTACAAGACATAAACATATCACCTGGGCTGGTCAATGAAAGACACCAACACTCTACGCTTCATTAAAGCCTTCCTACCCCCTCTCCACGGAGTCCTAGTGGCACAGTGGTTAAGTGCTCCACAGCCTGCTTCTGTAAAGATTACAGCCTTGGAAACCCTATGGGGCAGTTCTACTCTGCCCTGTAGGGTCCCTACGAGTCAGACTCGATGGCAATGATGTTTTTCTTTAGTTGTTTGTTTACCCTCTCCAGCTAGCCTGTTTGGGTTCTATGATCCCAGACTTCACTCTAACCCAGTCTTAACGCACTTTGCTTTGGGCGTAGGGAGAACCAGTTAGAAGAGTGGCTGAGTCCTACACCCTAAGAAGAAAACAACTCAAGATGTAAAGGCCATTTCTGTACTTTTCTATTTACAATCAGAAAGAAAAAAAAAGAAAGGCTAAGCAATGCTTTATAACGTAATGGTACTGCCTACAGGTTGTAGTCCATCTTATGTGAAAAGTATTATGTTTTTAAATTTAATTAGCAAATGTAATAGCTGCTTCAGTTATCTCAGAGTGAGGTGCTGAGTTTGTAGGGGCTTAACCACTGTGCCACTAGGACTCCGTGGAGAGGGGGTAGGAAGGCTTTAGTGAAACATAGAGTGTTGGTGTCTTTCATTGACCAGCCCAGGTGATATGTTCATGTCTTGTAGGTACTAGGGATTTTTTAATTGGTGCTGTCTTCTCTGCTTTGGCCACTGGAAAATTGCGCGCCAAATGTCTGATCTTCTAGTAACTGGGGATTCACTTGTATGTTCTTACTTAGTTATTTTATCTCTAGCTTCATTTTGTTCCCCTCTTCTTTTTTTTCAGTGTAGACCATCATCACCAGTTTGTTTAGGGCATCTTTCCATAAGTACTAGGTCCTTCTGCTCAGTGCGTGAATGTGTATGTTGCATTTGTACAGAGGCCCTACAGGCTCCTGGATGGCTGGCTCACAGCCCTCTCTGGTGCTTGGCAGGGGTGTGGAACTGGAGGTTGGAATAGAAAAGACTAGTTATCCAGCTTACAGTGCAGCCACCTGAGACTGTAACCAGCATCCCTCCTAGCCAGGCTTCTGCTTAAGGAGAGGAGAGTGCTGGTTGAGAAGTCACTGAACAATCTATTAAGTACTTGACAGCCCAGAGACACATACTGCATCTAAATTCAGTGTGTTGGGAACAGATGCAGCAGTAAATGCAGTGTGACCAAAGGGCAAGTGACTTCATTTCTCTACGCCTAGATTTCCTTCTCAAGAAAATAGGGAGAAGGGGAGGGACTTACAGTACACCTCTCCCCCCGACCCCCGCGTTGTTTTGAACACAAAATGAGATACTGTGGTGGTTGAGGTTGTATGTCAACTTGGCTGGGCCATGATTCTCAGTGGTTTGGCAGTTATGTAATGATGTAGTTTGGCAGTTATGTAATGATGTAGTCATCCTCCATGATGTGATCAGCCAAGCAGCTGTAAGGGGAGTTTCCTCCCATGTGAGGCCTGCATCCAGTATATATATGGACATTCTGACAAAGCTTGCTTGCTTGCTGTGGATCCTGCATCCAGCTTATCATCATCTGACCTCCATTTCTTGGGACTTGAGCCAGCTGCCTGCAGTACTGCCTGCTGATCTTGAGATTTGTCAGCCCCTGCAGCTGTGTGAATCAGGAGAAGCCTCCAGCCTGACACCTGACTACAGACTTGGGACTTGCCAGCCTCTACAACCACATGAACCATTTCCTTGAGATAAATATCTCTATTTATATATGTATAAATACGCTTCACTGGTTTTGCTTCTCTAGAGAACCCATCCTAAGACAGATACTAAATGAAAAGGGTACACCGGAGTGTCTGGCACAAGATAAACCCTCAAGTGATGGCTGTAATTAGTGTACTGTTGCCTCTCCTGCTGTGAACTTTTGGGTTGTCTAATCTTTATTTTCTTTTTTTTTTGTACTTTAGATGAAGGTTTACAGAACAAATAGTTTCTCATTAAACAGTACACACTGTTTTATGACATTGGTTAACAACCCCACATGTCAACACTCTCCCTTCTCGACCTTGGCGGTTGTCTGATCTTTAAGGAAACCCTGGTGGTGTAGTGGTTAAGAGCTGTAACTGCTAACCATAAAGGTTGGCAGTTCGAATCCACCAGGCACTCCTTGGAAACTCTATGGGACAGTTCTGCCCTGTCGTACAGGGTCGCTATGAGTCCGAATCAACTCGACGGCAACGGGTTTTTTTTTTAGTCTTCAAGAAGCAGAATTAAAGTTCCTGCACACGGTGCATTTTCTCCTATCCAACTATATTGCCTGAGGTCAAATTCCTAGGAAGGCAAAGAATGGATCAACCAGTCAAATACCTTTTACCTGTCCCCAGGTACCCAGGTGAAGCTTTGCAGTGGTCCCACCTGGCATCGGCGGCCGGCAGAGGGCGCCGCGGTCCCGAGGCGGAGCGATACGAAGCGCGAGCTCAGCGGCTGCCCTGTCCCGCCGGATGGTAATGAGCCGGCGGCCCCGCCCTCTGCCGGAAGTGGCCGCGGCGGAAGGCGGGGCCTGCACTCGGCCCGGTG